AGTAGTTCAGAATTAACAAATTTGGGTAACTTTGTCCTGCACAGAATATGCCCAGAGACAGCATATCAAATGAAGGGCTAGTTGCGGAGATCTGTAAGCCTGCCTAGTGCAGAAAAGGAAACTTGCAGACAAAACCAGAATTACTTTTCTGTTCTCTTGTTCATTCAAAAGTGTCTGGAGTTCCTGACTACATGGGCATCTCTAGAAATAGTGAGGAATCCCATATGGGTAGGCAGTAGCATCTATAGAAAGGGCCTGTCATTTCTGGCTGATTTCCAAGCACATCCCTTCACTTTAGGAATTGTGTGGATGAGGACTTCCACTTGTCATCTCCAGGACTTGTAGGGTGCTTGGAGAAAAACCCATGCTGAAATAAGGATTTTTTTTTCAGAAAAAAATTCCTTGAATAGTTCCATAGTTTGAAAGGTCAAAAAAAAAAACAAAGCAGTTTTTCCAATTCTCCTGCGTTCTTATGTGTAAACTGGGCAGATTGGACTATTTCTTTTTTTAATCAATCCTTTCCACCATGGCAGGGACAGTCTGAATTAAAAACTGGAGGGAGTCATGTTTAACTGTGTTTCAGAAAGGTTCTTAAGTGATATATAGTAAGCTCTCTTGTCCTGTTCAGGTGGGAAAAAAAAAGAAGTGCTTTTCACATACAATATGGAGACCTCTGCACTGAAGCTGGAAAAGTTAGCCCTGAGTGTTGATGCTGACTGGGAGATTTACATCAACTAAAAGGAGACGTAACTTCTTCAGACAATTCGCTGAGAGGTTTGGGAGAAATAAGTTCAGAAGACTTAGAACGTTCACTTCAATCAAATCAAGAAAGATATTTCACACCCACATCCCCAGACTAACATTTCCTACAATTTTCTCGTTAAAGCACTCGTTTAAACTTGGCTAGCTTTTCTATTTGGCAAAAGTAATAGCACTGGGATTGTATCTCTGGGGAAAAAAACCCTAAATACTGTCTGCTCCAGACTAGCTTCAGTTAGGTCTTAAGACTGAGTTCAGCCTTCACTTGCACTAAAAAACCATAAATTGATGGGGTGAGATTTTGGCTCCTTTTCACAAGTTTTAATGTAAGTATTTGGGAATCCCACAATTCAGAGATTGGAGTGGTCGAGAAGAGCAGATGTGGGCCAGTTTAAGAGGGAGCATCAGCAGATCTGTTACCTGCTGATCGTTGGAGTTCCACCTGCAAGCTGCCTTGTGAGAGCAAACACAGACAGAGCCACCCAGCGCGATTACTGACACTTCCCCTTCCCAGTCCTTGTGACGACACAGCATCAGTCGGTCTGCAGAGGAAAGTAAAGAAAAGGCCAGCCAAACCGTCAGTCGCTGAAAATAAGGTTTGAGTAGGTTGTGCCAGTCAGTTGTGCAAGAGGAAAAGGCGGTAACTTGGGAGTGGAGAAGTCTCTCCCATAGCTGGCTTTGAAACCGGCATTTGGATTTTAAAGAGGCACGGGTCTACGTAAGTGCAATACTGGCGTAAGGTAGCAACTAAGATTTGTGGAAACATTTTCCATGTTATTGCTCCGCTCTCCCTGCAAGTACGGTTTAAAAAAAAAAAGTCTCTGCTTATGGAGAGCCCTGCTTCTCCAAATCTTCCAACTTTTGCCAAGGTTTGGCTTCTTTTACACAGTTTTTAATACCTGGCTGAGATTCGAGCTTGGTATTTATGAAGCAAATTTTTAATTTTAATAGGAATAATTCTGCTTGTAGCCATCCCACTTCATGCTTATTCGCCCATTCTCTTACAACTCACCCTAATGTTTCTTTGCCTTCTTTTCCCACCATCTTTGCAAACAGAATTTGTGTGCCCTGATGCTTTCTTCTTTCTCAAAATTAGGAGACATCTCAAGCCCCGTGTTCCCTACATCCTGCAGCTCTTTCCATATCAGGCATCCCTTTCTGCAGGCTATCATCACTCTATGGCTCAAGTTGTTTGCCCTTTCCACTTGCTACACTTGCCGATTCTATTATTTTAAAATCAGTTCTGCTTTGAGTCAAACCTGGACATGCCATCAGTTGGGTTTTGGGGGTATAAAAGGGCAAAAATTACTTAATTTCTTTTAGTCTTAGTACATTAACTCTTAGTAAACAGAGAAGAATAGTCACCAGTTTTGCCAATTAAAGGTAAGGTAACAGTCCGTTCGTACGCTGTAGCCTGCGTTTCCAAGTCCTCACTGTGCTTGGTCAGCCATTCCCACCTGCTGCTGTTTGTCCTCTGCAGGGCAGATTTCTGGGAATAGCAAGTGTGAGAGCAAACTGCGACTCCTCTGCTCCTGACTACCCAGCACAATTTGTTCCCTGACCAGACCCCCGAGTTCCTGCTTTTTCATTCTGCAGAGCTGTGTGTGAGCCCCTTTAGCAGCAGACAGCAGGAGCCTCTGCTCCCAGAATCAGCAGCCTAAGTACCGCCGTGGCTTAACACAGATAAGTTAATCCAGGTGGAACGGTACAAAATACATCTTTTACATCTGTGAGAAGAGAGACAGACCCTATTTCTGAGATAGACACTATTTTTCTATCAGCTTCTAAGTTTTAAGTGACCGTTGCTTCTCATTGTTGAACACAGCAGTGCTTCTGATAGGATATAATTATTGTCTGGAGCTTTTTAATGAAATGTTTTAACTGGTGTTTCTAAAGTTGGAAAATAAATAACATAACAATGAAACAAGTTACATGCCTTACTCCTTCCAACCTTCTCTTGAGAATCACAACTAAGTATTCTTCCAGGGTATCTAGTTAAAGTGAATGACTAGCTTTTGTACTCTGGCTCTCAGTATGATATTTGCACTACAGTAAATTCTCACAAGTCAAATTTTTCAGTTAAGCCTAACTTGCATGGATTTCAGTAGGAACTAGTTGCTGAAAATCTTAGCAGTTGTGTCGCTAGATACAAGGAAATAAATTTCAAATAATATAATTTACATTGATGTTTGTAGCAACTCACGTACTTTTCTGCATATTTATACCATAAATGAAGAAATAACTTTATAGCGTGTCTTTACAAAAAACGTAATTGAATTCACTTAGTGAAAACAACTGAGGAGAAAACTTCATAAAAGTTAAGTGGAAAATTTATCATCCATGTAGTTCTCTTTTGCTCTATCTGAACAGGTCAGCTGTTGTGGAGTTTCTGCTTGCAAGAAATTCCATCACAAAAGGCGATTTAATTCCTGATGAACAAATGGAATTTGCTGCTTGTAGCAGGCAGCACACTCATTCTTCGCTACAATGAATTGCGTTTCCTTAAAGACACCATTTGTCTCTTCCTAGTAACTCCTGTTACAGAAAAAAAACCTACATAGCAAACCCATCTGTCCAGTAAAAAATAAGAAAAGAAGCTGGATTTTTTGTGAACAGGTATAAGCACAAAATACTCCTGAACATCTGTCAAGAGCAGTGTTGGGTTATAAGTGAGAAGCGCAGGCCCACCTGCCAGTCCCTCTGTAAGCAGTAAGCACTGGCTGAGCTATTAGCTGTAGCAATAGGTCATACCCTGACACTTGCTGACCTTCTCAAGAAATAAAAAGTATAAAACCACTGCTAATCCTTCACTTGATCCTCTCCAGCAGCCCATAAGGAGTCAAATATCACACCTGTGCAACTGACATTCTTCCCGACAGAGACCTCTGCGTGCAAGATGTAATTGCTGCAGCCGCGCAACGCCCTCGCATCTCCCTGCTTGCACCGCTTTTGAAATATCCTGGAAAGCAACACGTGGCTCTGCCAAGCTGTCCTGCAACGTAATGTCAAATACGAGACCTGCAGTCCTTGCATCTAAATGTAACGAGGAAGTCAGCAATTCTGCATCTGGAAAATACACGCCGAAGCAATTGCGTTCCTGTAGCCAGAACGCTTGACTCTGTCCTTTCTGACTGCCCCGTTGGTGTAAGAAGGCTTGTGTTCATGATAAAAAGAAAAAGGATTTAGGCCACCATTAGAAGACTGAGGATTAGTACTCCTATATTATCTTCTTTAAATGTTCCCCTAGTGGAGTTTTTTTAATGAGCTGCTTTGGAAAACACCAGAATACTAGGGCAGAAGGTCAGCAATGTGTACATGAGCCGGCCTCCAGAGACTGGTGTCATTAGGCAAAAATAACATGGATGTCGTCTCGTGATTTAAGACTTCCCAATTAAAAGAAAAATCGAGGTGTTAGGGGCCTTTTCTCGGCATGTAGACAATGTCACCTTTTAAAGGACTGGCTTATAAACGTGTTTAGACTTTCTTTTGCAGACACTGTGAATTTGTCCCTTGTCCCACTGTTGTGTGACAAAATAAATGTTTAAACTGAGGCATCTCCTCGAAGATCGGTATATCCTAACACACCAAATGGCCCAGTTGCTGCACTTGGCCCCTTAAAAACTCTTCTGCCCCTATATAAAAACATGTCTTTTACATGGGAGGCAGCTATGGATCGTAGTGCTGGTGAGCTGGTCTTTAGAGGAGCCAAACCCACCTGGGAAGTATTGACCTGACCTCAGTAGGATCAAAAAATTATCTTTTTGACCACTAGGAGCGTGTTTTCAGATAATCCTCTCCACTAGTAAAAACCTTTCTATATAGGTTTTCTGCAGCAAAGGGTAGAAACAATAACTACAACAGTTCTTTTAGGAGTGTCAGGACTAGTTTCTTGGCTGGCAGTACATTAAAAAATTAGCTTCCAATTTCACTCTTCTCTCTACTTAAGGAAAAGATGAGCTGCTCTCAACCAGGAGCCAGCCCACACCCGGAGCCTGTCCCAGGAACACGCCTGGCCTCAGCACGAGCTGCGCAGAAGATTGACGCCATCTCACTTTCCCTCTCTCTCACTCTTTGCCTGTAGTTATTTTTAGATGTCAGGGGTTAAAGCTTGTCCCTTCTGGGCGCACAGGGCAGGCACACACACATACACACACGTCGTAGATTCTACGACTCGGGCACGGGAGTTAGCCAACAGATCATCTTGTTCCACATCGAGGACTAAATTCCAATTTCTTATGACCAAATACTGCCCTTTGGGAGGATGCACAACACGCTCAACCACATGGAATTTTGTTGCTCGCAAATTTGACTAGGAGACTTTCAACGGATAAGAAAACGCGGTTAACCCAGCAGCTTCCTCTTTTCTCGAATTTCCTTCCAGTTTGCAAGATCTTGCTTCCTTTCAGCATTTCTTTTGAGCCTGATTCCCATGCCGACCGCCATAAATGCAGCAGTGGCTCAGCAGACAGCTGCTGGGTCAGTTCCCAGCCCCACTATTAGCACGACAACCGAAGGTACGGGTGGGGGCACAGGGGGAATTTATTCTGCCATTATAAGTCGCAACCAGCCCATTATCAAAGTAAAGGAGAAGACCTATGAAGAGCTTCACAAGAAGTGCCTGGAGAAAAATATTCTCTATGAAGATCCTGATTTCCCACCGAACGAGTCCTCCCTCTTCTACAGCCAGAAAATCCCCATCAAGTTTGAATGGAAGAGACCACGTGTAAGTAACATATTTGCTGAGTACTTTTTACTGTACTTTTTTTACTTTTTTCTGTAGATGGAAGTATTCACTCTGAGCTTGCAGTTTTTTCAGAAATTGTGTGGTAGGGGAGGTGGGAGGAATGAGCTGAACATACATTTCCTTAGAACTCTCCTGTAAGATAAGTAGCAAGGGCTGTGGAAGTTCAGAGAGTGTGTAGATTGACTAAAATACAATAAACCAAAATAAAACACAAAGGAGATGGAATTAAATATGCAGAAGTACAGATTAATTTCTTCTTGCATGATATTTGATAGGTATTTTCTTGTCTAAAATTAAGTTATTGGGTTTGCTGAGGCTTAGTTCTAAAACACTACTTTATTTCACTTACAACTTTACTTTAGTATTCCCCTGATTTCCTAATCTATGAAAACAAAAGGACAGGTTATGGTCTGAAACATGCTTTTATTCAGTTGTTTGTTCCCAATGTTGCTTAGCTGACTTGCAAAGGTTGTTTAGCAACGTTATCCTTTTACCATGCATGTGGGTGTTGTAATCGCTATGAGGACCCACTCCTGCCTACTAATCCCATTTCTTTTTCCTGTCTTGTGGCCATCCCCCAGCCAGCCTTCCTGCTCTTTCCCACCCTGAGTCTCTCTCACAGGCAGAGGACTAATTCCTCGATTCCCGATTGATTCCCCATCCCTACTGCAGGAAGATTTGTTCTTTCCCCATCGCTCCTGCTGGGCAGCTGCTCCCCTCCAGTGAGGTGGCCCCCAGGACGTGGCTTCAGCCCCTGCCACCCCCTCTCCACATCCAGCAAGAACGTGGTTCTGAGGACCTTCCCCAGCTCCTTCTCTTGGGTGGTTTTTGATCGCCTCTTCTAGATTTGCCATATTTCCCCAACACCCCTGGGCTTCGGTGGCAAAGTCAGTGATGTCAAATAAAACCAACCATAGGAACGTAACTAAATAGCCAAGTTCCAGGAGCTCTTGCTGTTAGGGATGCAGAGGAAGGCCACGTGCTGCTCTCACAACCATGTGAGCAATGTGGAGAGAGCAACATGAGTCTCCCATCTGCCATGCCCCATGCTCGGTCATTCCTTCATCACCACCGTGACGGCATCAGCCCCTGGAAATGGGTGTGAATGAGTTAAATACAGCCACAAGTCAATCATCTCAAAAGGATAGGATTTCCCCTGGTATGACAGAGAGCAAAGCGATGCAGCAGTGCCGTGGGCGAGTGCTAGCAGCGTGGGGCGGGCAGGCTGCAAGGGTGCATATGAGAAGGCACAAAAACATTAAGAAAGAAAAAAAAGTACAATGTAACCTCAGACTTCTGTAACATAACTGAGCACAGCACAGACCATGCCTTTGTTTGTGGAAAAGTTCAGACTTCAGGGTTTCTAGCCCTAAGACAATTTTTAAGCCAGTCGTTCACAAACAAGTTTGGAAGCTTTATGCTTATTACTCATGTAGCAGCGACAAGCTGGGGACGGCCTTAAGACTCAAAATACAAGCTAAACATCAAACCCAAAGCTGCCTGGGTTCTTTTGACACAAGCATCCCATCACCTCATGTATCTGTGACGCCAGCTGCAGGTAGAGAGCCACAGTCTGCATCTGCCAAGCACTGGCATGGCTTGGGGTCATGGATCCAGTCATCTGACCCCGACAGGTGCCTGTGCCTTCTGTTGCAAACTTGTTTGGTTTAAAACAACCTCTTTAATTCAGGTCACTGACCCAACAGGTCTCACATATAACACTTTCTCCTTTTATAATATGCCTCCTGCCTTGTCGTCCACACCACGACTGCAAAATGAGAATTCCCTCAGGTGCTAACGCGAAAGGGATGTATCTGCTGGCACTGATCTCAGATTGACCCAGGACTTCAAAACTGAAGGTTATGTAGCATCAGTAGGGGGACTCGTCTGATAATGTTACACACACAAATAGCTACAATAGATGCGTTAACAGAACATCATGAAGTCAAATGAATATGCAGTAGTAAAACTGGGCTAAAGAGTATTTTGCCAAGAGATTAAAGCGATAATTGAAGCACCCAATGTAAAGATTCAGCTGCACCGGCCATGTTTTATAACAGTCTGTAAAGATATGGAGAACTTCCATTGCTAAAATGCAATGGCATATTTTTCGGTAAGGAGAATAACTAAGCTTATAAACTCTAGTTTTACAAAGTGGCAATTTTGAATACCTTGAAATTCAAGTCAAACTTTAATTGAATCAGACTTCATAACGTATTCTAAAAGAAAGCAGAATATCAGAGCGTTCAGAAGTCAGTATCCTAATACTGGCTTCACTTTAGATCTTTTCCCTGATTTCTACAGTGTATTGTACGTGCCACATACTCCCAGAAACAGCAAGTAAATACGTGATCGGTTGCTCTAATGTTTTGTTTAAAGCAGAGAGCTGGAAAATAGGCAACCTGTTTCTGACTGCCCCTGGCTTCCTGAGTCACCTTAGTCATGTCACCTAATCAACACAAGCTCCCGCCCACTGCCACACGAGACTAAACGTATGAGAATACAACATACGTGAAAGATTAACATTAGCCTTAAATGAGCATTATTTGCAATGACGTGAATCCACATGGGATTGTCGAGCACAACTTTTTCCAGAAGCTCCAAGTATTATTCGAGGAATCAGAAAGTTAATCTAAAGGGCATGTGTTTGCCGGTTGCCAGTGCGAACACCAGGCGCTGATGACGGTGCCATTCCTCAGCTGAACAGTACTTCTTTGTGGTAGCTCTCAGCGGGCTGTGCTGATGCACGGAAAGGCTCTGGGTCTGCTTTTCCACCTGGGATTTATGAGGATCCCTCAGTAAGTCAGACACATGGATGACGCTCTGCCGGGACCTAGGCTCTACTTGCTTCTCCTGGCAGCGGCCGTGCCGTGACTGGACCTTTTCCTCGGGGTTCCCACAAGTCATTCTCGTGGTGCTGAGTTTTGTCCAGCATCCCAGGCTCCAGTGTCCCCCTTGCTCTCCTGCTCTTTGCAGCTGGCACTACCCAGAGGTCAGGGTCCTCCTCCACCACCTCCCAAAACAACTGTCCTCTGCTGCCGCGAAAGCAGTGAGGGCACGGGGACTGCCGCTGTGCCTCGCAGACGGGAGGACGGCTGCCACTCAGGGCAGCTGCGAGCCTTGGCACGGGGACAGTGAGAAAACTGAAACTGCGTCAGGGAAGGCTTAGGTTGGATCTCGGGAAATGCTTCCTCACGGAGAGGGTGCTCAGGCACTGGGATGCTCTGCCCAGGGAAGTGGTGGAGTCATCGTCCCTGGAGGGGTTTAAGGAGAGGCTGGATGTGGCACTTAGTGCCGTGGTCTGGCTGATGTGATGGTGTTGGGACATAGGCTGGACTTGATGATCTCAGAGGTCTTTTCTAGCCTCAACAATTCTGTGATTCTGTAATAGAGATTGAAAAAACCGCAACCCAAAGCCCTGGCATCTCACAGCTAGTTTTCAGGAGAGCACCACAGCAACACAAGGAAGAATACTTTCAACAAAGCGAGTGGAGAAAAGCATGAAGGCATCTCAGACAGCTGCCTTGACCCCAGGACAGCTGACCAAGGCCCAAAATAACAGGACAATCCCTCCATTCCTTCCCTTGAGGAGAATAAGGTGGCTGCTGGGGGAAACTGGATGCTGATCTCTTTCTGACTAAATGACTAATCCAATTATTTACATCAAAGCAACTCTGCTGATTACTGTAAAGGGGAAAAATAGTGGGCCCAAGCCAAGTGTAACTACCAGACCTGAAACATGAGTCTGGGAAAATCCAGGCCTACCCTGATGACATGGGAAAAAAGCTTCAGACAGCAGAAGTAGTGTCAGCTGCCTGTACTGCAGCACAAGCAATTGTCAGTTGCTTCTTCTCTCTCCTTCCCACTCAAGCCCTGCCACCCTCCAGCAGGTTGGGTTCTTGGATTGTTTGTTGTCTTCTTCACCATTTGCAGCTGCTCAGGGAAGTGGTCCTCAGGTTGCAAAACCTTTCTTTCACAAGAGATGAGTCCAAAAGTTAAGTGTCGTCTTTTTCTTCCTCACACCAAGTATTTGAGGAAGAGAGATGGGATAAAGCAGGGACATCTTTTTCCTCTGTAGGACAGGTTGTACCTACTTCTTTCCCTTGGCTTTCCTATACCTTGTGGTTCTTGGTCCCCTATAGAGAAGGTTCTTTGTAATCCTGCAATAGTCCCACCTCATTTGCTGGGAGTTTCTACATAGTCCTTCCTTCCCTATAGCAATTCCTTACTTATTTATGCCTGTACAGAAAGTTGTGCCCATTCTGAATTATTGTAAGTATCAACAAACCCAGTACATTGTCCTAAGTGCAGGACAAAAGCCAACCTTTCTGTCCTCAGAGACAGATGATACCTGTATACATTTCTGTACACAGCACTGGCAATTAAATACTGCAACACAAAGAAAAGAGTAAAATTTCTTAAACAGCAACACATTATTCCTGAGAACTAAACATCTGATCCTGAGCAAAGTTTAAGGAGGAACACCAATGGGGTTTATTCCTGATGAAATGCCTTCTTCAAACCTGCTAATACCCTGGCATATTGGTTACTGCAAACTGAACACCTTAAACCTGCAGTCATTTTAAAATAATTTAATCTGGTCCCCCGATGCTTTCCTGTCTCCTCCAATGTTGTTGTTGTTTCTCCATATTGCATAGAAAAATATTTTTTTGGATTCTTCTCATTTTAATATGTTTGCGCTCCATAGAGAGGGAGCCCCCGAGGCTAGCTATGAGACCCTGTGGATACATGGAGAAAACTCTGGCTGAAGGCTGGAACACTCAGATTCTAAAATATTTTTGTAGTGAAACTCTGCAGCTGAAAACTCTACAAAAGACTTTAATATCTGTAAAGTATCCCACAGGGAAACATAGTCTTAAACCAGCCTTTATTTCTGTTGCAAACAGGCATCATAATGCATGTTTTCCTGCTCATCCATCTTTTTATATTTGGCAGGAAATCTGTGAAAATCCACGGTTCATCATAGGTGGAGCCAACAGAACAGATATCTGCCAAGGAGAATTAGGTATGACATTCTTACTTCAATTCTGCACTTTTTAAAGTCTGTGTCATAGTTTAGCTCTCAATTTTCTTTTGCTTGCAAGGTGATATTTGAAATCCTCTGTCTCAGCCTACCGCTACATACCTACCTTCTCTCTATAGCAGATTATTGATATCTGCATAGCAGCAATCTAGGGAAGAACTTCAAGCAAAAATGCTTTACAGAGTGTTTTGCTCTTCATGCACTACTAGCATCGGCATGTTACAAAAAAATACATTTGGCCTTGCTTTCAGGCTTTGAGGAGGGACAAAATTAGTTAAGACAAGAAGAAGAGATAAAGGAAAGGACTGAGATAAAAATCTGATGAGCTACTGTTGTATTTTTTTGCATACTTAGTCCTGTTATTTCCATACAGGAGCCTCCAGCTAAGCGTGCCTTGTACTCAAGGACAACCTGTGTGTAGAAGACCATAAGTTCAGATGCTCAAAGATACTTTGATATGCAGAGCCACTACTTAAGTACAAGTGATGCCTCTGCAAGCGTTGTCCGCTCAGCACTCGCCTGTCTTCCAGGGTTTTATAACTTCTCCTGTAATATTTTTCATAAGTTAATATATCCCATTGTGTGTTTGTCTTTTCATTTAAGTGTTGTTCTGTGTTTGTGACTGTCCTCATCACCTTCCCAGTACTTTTCATTAATTTATTTAAAACCTCCTTTATTTTTAAGATGGCTAGAACTTCACAGTTCCCCAGGTGTGGATGCAAATGAATTTACATACATATGATGTTCTCTCTTTTGTGTTCCATCCCTTCCCCAACTACTCATAGCATTTTTACCTTTTTGACTTCTGCATAACATCGAGCAGTTTAGAAAACTCCTGGTTACAGTGGGCCCTATGTCCCTCCTAAGGGGAAACAGGTAACTTAGAATGTGATGATAAATGCATAGAGATGGCTTTCCAAAATATATACACGTATGTATTTCTATATGTTTTCTCATTCACCGGTTCCACAAATTTCTTTTATAACTCCCTGGAATCAGGTTTCATTTTCTCTACCTTGTATGATTCTCTCACCCCACTAATTCACACTGCTCAGGCAAGCCTACCCTATAACCTCTCTTACAGTAGCAAGTAGGAGGTTTTAATTAAAGCATCCTTTGCTGAACACAGAACTACTATGGGCTGAAATCATTCTCCCAGGGCTCCCACAGAGGCGTAAGGCTTGTGCAAGAGTCTGAAATTGGAACTGAAAGGTGCTAAGGGGGACAGCATTTGTTACAGTGCAGACATAGATTCAAAAAAAAGAAAAAAAAGGAAAAAATGAGAGACTGTTCCTCAGCTGTGGAAAGCTCCACCCGCACAAGAGTCATCTCTCAGCTGGTCTCTGTCCTAAGCTCCGTAGGATAACTAGTGCGGAAAGTCAGGCGGGCATTCCCATGGGACAACGAAATCTCAACACAGGTAACAGTGCTCATCAGATTTTAGGTTTTTTCCTAAGTTACAGGAAACATTATCTATTTAATAGACACATCCTTAGCCCTGAACGATGCCAATGAGCATTTCCAGAGCAAAAAACAAATCAAGTGCTAAAGTACTGCAGAAGGCACAGAGAAGGGCCCTCTCCTGAAAGGCGATGGCGCACTCTGCTGAGAATTAAGGTGTTACTTTGCAGCATCTCAGGCTTTCCCTTTGACCCTAGTTGCTCTGTCCCTTCATTTTGGCTGCTGCTCCTGCTTGTTTACAGGTGACTGCTGGTTCCTGGCTGCCATTGCTTGCCTGACGCTGAATAAAAAACTACTCTGCCGCGTCATACCTCATGACCAGTCCTTTATACAAAACTACGCTGGCATCTTTCACTTCCAGGTGAGTCACTTCATCTAACGGGAAGCAGATGTACCTGCACTGACCCGAGAGCTCAGCTCTTGGCACCTCTTCCCTCTCGCTTCGCCACCCTTTGGAAGTGAGAGCGACAGCAGGGAAGGAAGAGGGATTGAATTGCCTCACCCTGAACTCTTCCAACAGGGCGGTCACGGAAGGGCCAGCCCACACAGGCAATTAGGGATCATTAACCCACCAAGGAAGCATTTGCAGATCGTAGTGTTCAGCAACAGGTGCCTGGTCCTGCCTTGCTGCTCAGATGTAGCACTACAGCCAACACAGACCGGAGGGTGCTTGGCAAGAGCATCTATTTTTAGGCCCACAAACAGCTGGTCTGTCAAAAACAAGTTCCTGAAGAACCCCTTATTCAAAAAAGGCTGAGTGCTTTCCACATTTCTCTTGGCTCTCCTAAGGGACCTCTCACTGTCCCATGTGTGTTCCCCAAAGGAATTCAACTCGACTGCCTCCCTCCTAATGGCGAACAATTTTTGCCACATTACAACATGAATTTCCACATTTCTCCTCTCTCAGGAGGAGAAAATTCTCATTTCTTTCCCTCCCTGCTTCCAAGTCAACCTATTTGTTTTTCCTGTTTGCCTTTATTCAGTTCTGGCGCTATGGAGACTGGGTGGACGTTGTCATCGATGACTGCTTACCCACATACAACAATCAGCTGGTCTTTACCAAGTCCTCCCAGCGCAACGAGTTCTGGAGTGCCCTCCTGGAAAAGGCCTACGCAAAGTAAACTTACTCGCTGGACAGTACTGAGCTCTGCACCAAGGCTTCGGCTGTGACAGTGGTTAAACCCCTTATGAATGAGCACCTAGAGAGGCTCTGAACATACCAGCGCCTTTTCCCACAGATTTTTGTGCCTCAGAATTGAGGATGGGCTAAAAGTGTATTTTATAGGGGGTTTTGCTACTCATTCAGAGGTCTATATCTAATTCTCAACATTGGCTCACAAGCAGATGTTTTTGTGGTTGGTTTGTTTTTGGTTTTTTTTAGTATTTACTTTTACATATCTATATTTATACACAAATAAGATACCTACATCTATCTGTGTAAGAGAATCTCTTTCTTTTCCCTTTCCAAGACTCCATGGGTCATACGAAGCTTTGAAAGGAGGCAACACCACCGAAGCCATGGAGGACTTCACCGGAGGAGTCACAGAGTTCTACGAGATAAAGGATGCCCCTAAAGATATCTATAAAATCATGAAACATGCCATTGACAGAGGATCTCTCATGGCCAGCTCCATTGATGTGAGTCCATACAAGCTTCGCAGATAAGAGGAGAGGGGATCCCTCCATCTGTAATCAAATATTTGCCACCTTTTGCAAGTGCTTGGTGTAGTGCACATAGCAAGCAGCCATTCCTAGGAGATGGAGTGATCTCCACTAGACACCACCCACTAGCAAATAGCAAGCATCAAAGGGGAAATGAACAGAAGCAGAACGTGGAGGTGAAGGGGTGTGATTAGCAAAACCAACACTTACCACCCTCAGTGCCCTCGTCCAGTAAAATAAGGTTAGTATGGGGGTACTGCAGCGCTGTTAAGCCACAAATCTTCATGTCAAAGATGCCAAGTTTGTAAACACTTTGGAAATCAATGCTTTAGTTGCCACCATAGCCTCAGACTGTCTTCATTTATCATGCTAAATTTAAAAGTAAACAAAATTTCAGCAACCATTATGGAACATGAAGACGCAGCGAAGGCAGGAGAACAACCAGTGCCATCAACCTCTGTGGATGGGATGGAGATAACGAGGGAGAAAATTTATCTAGTCTATCTTTTACTGGTCACCTTTCTTACACCATTTCTCTTCTCTCTTCCTGCCTCATCTTTCTGCGCCAGGATCACCTAGGCTTTTCCTATGGATCAGCTCCTCGGAGCGACATTGGGGAACTGATTGCTCGAATGGTGAAGAATCTAGAAAATGCACAGATGTCTCACTCCACTGCAGACTACCAGGGGACGGATGAGAGGCCAGCCTGGGTTCGTATGTCTCCAGAAGCGGTTGCCTTTACAGTGCTTTTATTTACAAACATATCACCTGTGCTTTTAAATCCTTATTTGGCTTCACTGAATCATTCCAACACTAAAGACCTATCCTTATGGATGCCATCTGACACAAGCATTAGAAGACTTAAAATACTAGAATCCCCAAGTGTGTTGGGGACGTGAAAGAAAGAAAAAGCAAACTCTGCACAGAGCTCTTACTCCAGACAGAAAAGCACTTGGTGAATTAATTTTGACATAGAATACTATTGGGCTCTGCCCACACATGGAGGGGGGTCTGCTCTCGGGATGCTTCTTTTAGATTACTGCCATCAAATTCCTCCTTTAAAATGCCTAGCAAAGAAAAAGTATTCTGAGTTTTAGATGTGTGATGAGGTAGAAAATAACTCCAGTCTACTTAAGTATCCAGCAAAATAAAAGGAGACACATTAAAACCATTTAAGAAACAGAACATATTGATAAAAGCTTTCAAACATGTGGAAGGATACGTTGCCTTCTCCTTCCCTCTGTCAGGCAGCAGTCATACCTGGCCCTTTAGGCAACCGCATCTCTGTGACAATGAAACTACATCTCACACTTTGCAGAGGAAAAAAATCCAACAAAAAACCACTTCCACTGTTGCAATATCTAAACATTTGGCTGTGCAAACCGTCTTCTGTATTTGCAGCAGAAATAGCTGGGGTTTTTCCTCTTTTGACATCCATATTTAGTCTTCCTAAAAAGACCGAAATGTTGCAATTCTTTGAGAAAGCCCAGTACGACTGGTCGGTTTTTGCAAGTGTGTCTGCCCAAATCCCCCATGGTTTGGGGGGTATTTCCCCCCCACTGACTGTTTACTGAAAGAAAGTTGCAAAATGCTTTCTACAGTTCCTTCCCCAGCTGCCATTCTGCAGATAGTTATTACATATTTCCAGGACACTACCAGAAAAAAAATAAAATAAAAATCATGACTCTTGGTGGAAAGAGGCAGATGGTGTAGGCATCAGAAACACTTCTGAGAAGTGACACAGGACGCGAGCAGAAGTTAATATTCTTAAACTGAAAAAAGAAAAAACTTCTAGTAAGTAATCATGGCAGCAGTGTGAGTAGACATGAAGAAAAAAAGAAAACAGATATGAAGTTGTAGGCATAGAAGTATAGAAACAGGAGGAAGGAAAAAAGAAAAGAAAGAAAGAAGAGAAACAGGAGCAGACGGGAAATAATGGAAAATAATTGCGACAGCCAGGAAATATTTGGATGAGATCCTCCTTGTGCAAGCTGAGAATGTATCTGTGTGACCTTACTAATTCTCTGTTTCCAGCCCTGGCTTTTTCCTGCCCTCAGATGTGTCGAGAAGCTGCTGGCAGGACCTAGAGGTGACAGACACAACTGAGAAGGGGAGGCTTCACGCATGGTCCACATGGACGTAGCCGAGCCTTCTCCTCCTGCTGACCTCAGTGGTCTCTCCTACAAGTACAGCGGACTGTGTGCACCTGCCATCTTGCTGTCAGCTCTTTATCTCCCAGATAAACAGCGCTTTGAAAATAATAAAAAAAAAAATTTTTAAAAAAATAAATGTATCAGACACACTAACAGTTGATTATCAAGACACCAAATGTATTTACACCCGAGCCACACACTGCTAAAGCAAGCTTATGCCCTTCCTGAATGTCAGTTGGGAAAAATTTCAATCACAAGGATTTTAATGTTTATGGAATAAAATGTACATTTCCACAGGAAATTAATTTTTCTTAAATAGTGTAATTGGAAGGAATAGTGTATTAAATACTGTACTTTGCTGTCATTGTGATCAGATAGCAGCCTCGTGTAAAGACGAAAGTATTCTTACAGGTGTTGATCTGCTTTGATGTTCCCAGTTAATGTGCAATAACCTTACTGAGCCATACAAGAACACTCGTCCTAGAAAGGGCTGAATAACCCTACTAATAGAAAATCTAATTATTTTGATTAAGCATGCTATATACTAGCGTGTTCCAAGTGCAAAAAAGCAGTGACCTGCACGGAGGGGGAAAAGTAAATCACAAAACATCCTTTCCAACTGGTATTACTAACTTTTTCCTTTTTTAGGTCACGTTTTATTCTTTCCTAACCAATAACATTAATTCTGTGAGCACTAAGCTTTGCCACCTTAGCAATCGCAAAGAAGGGAACATGAGAAAAAGCCCCATCATCCCAACGGTGTCATCCTCCCTCCAGAAGCCCTTGGGTGGAAACAGCTGCCTTAAAGTCGAGTTTTGCATGACTCTGACAAGCCTTTATCTTGTGTCCAACAGACCATAGTGCCAATGCAATACGAAACGCGGATGTCTTGTGGGCTCGTCAAAGGTCACGCCTACTCCGTCACGGCGGTGGAAGAGGTATGTACGGTCCCTTTCCTCCAGCTCGCAGGAGACGTGGCACACACCGTGCACGCCCGCAAAGCTATGAGAGGCAAAACGGGTTGCGAGATAAGGAAACCAAAAGTTTATATTTAAATAAATTAAAGCCTTGTGAAGAAAGAAGCCTGCCCAAACTGTGGCTTTCTGGGGAAAACAGATACTCCACTGCTTGGGTAGAGGCGGCCGCAGCCAGAAACCTCCTGGTCTCACTGCCTGCCTGTGCACACCCCAAGACTGGGCAATAGTCCAACGAGGCACCATTGCTGGGGGCTTGGCATCCACAGTTTGACAGGCACAACATTCTCTTTTTGAACCTACCATCAGTCTATTCTTGTTGCCTTTTTTTTTTTTTCCTATTAGACCACATTTAAAGGGGAGAAAATACGTTTGGTAAGGCTGAGAAACCCCTGGGGGCAGGTGGAATGGAACGGACCTTGGAGCGACAAGTGAGTACAACAGAGCTTCACGTGATTTGGAAAAAAAAAATAAAAAAAAAAATTGCAGCTCTATTTGCATCACATGTAACGATGAGGTACCTGAATTGTGTTTGCTCTCATTTTGAAACAGGCACTTCAAAGCTGCTCATAGCTGATTACTCAGCTGAAGCTCTAAAAAGAAAAGAGTACCTAAAAATGTTAAGAGGGCACTTAGTGAACGGAACTGAAGAGATAGCCCAGTCCAGCGGCACAGTCAATGCGATTTTACTGTCTAGGAAGTTCCACAATGCCCATTTTCAAATTAAGATGTGACAAAACGTAGAAAAATCTTTCAAGTTATGAAAGAACTGGATGAAGCAAAATGTCAGTACATGAGCGAGTTCAGGCAAAGCTTCTCCTTAGTTTTTTACTGAAAGGCAATTTCAATAGCTACTCCAGCAATGACAGTCTGCAAACACTTTTTTCTCCAAGCTAAATAAAGTGAACACAGTTCAGCAGATTTTTGAGACTGCTAAGAAGAAACCTGAAGGGAAGGCAGAGAGAAGTAGGGCAATTGCTTTTATTTTGGGGGGGAGGGGGCACATGAAGAGGGCACATTGACAGCAAATGGTTGCAAGGCTCACAAAGGAAAAATTATCTGGAGGTAGCAAGATGACTCTTGACTTTCCACCCTATGAAGCTTATAGTAAAGAGCAGAAATTTTATTGAAAACTGCATTGCAAATCGTAATCAAACTTGTTTACTCCTTTGAAGGTCAGAGGAATGGAACTTCATTAACGAAGAAGAGAAAATCCGCCTGCAGCACAAGATCGTAGAGGATGGGGAGTTCTGGTAAGAACAGTCAGCAGCCTGTGCTTCTCCGGGAGATAGGCAACTGTAACAAAAATTAAATCACCACTGCACTACTTAAATCTGCTAAAACCATTGCAATAATGCCTGCTCCCCTTTATACTCCCAGCGAGCCCTGCTCTGTGATTCTCTTGTTCCCTCACCAGGGTTTATTGAGCAGCCACAAGCAGATCAGTCCTCCTAATTATGCCACACTTTCATGAGCTCCCCATCACCCTCTTCCTACATACCAACCTCTCAGCCCAATTTCCCCCAGTTTGGAGCTGTACCTGCGTTAATTGACCAAGCAGCATGCCAAATGCATGAGGAAATCACGGCACTCCCACTGCGAATTTGCCCCAATAAGCAGCATTATCGTTGCTCACCTTCCTCCACCTCACCAGGATCTCTCAGACAACTGCCTACCATGAAAATCCCTTTGGGTTCAGTTTCCCCTCAATTCCTCCAGGATATCATTTGAAGATTTCATGAGGCACTTCACAAAACTCGAGATCTGTAACCTCACGCCCGATACTCTGGAAGCTGATAAACTCCAGACCTGGACGGTGTCGGTCAACGAAGGGCGCTGGGTGAGAGGTTGCTCGGCTGGAGGTTGCCGCAATTATCCAGGTGAGCAATGGGTCTCGGGAGGTATGGGGGGGTTTTAGTGGGGATTGTATGAGATCCCACGGGTGAAGCCACACCACATACTGATCAGCACTTGGCCATGGGGAAAGCCTTGCTTCCTCAGTGGGCGAGGCACGCAATTTTGTCACTGGAAAACTTCTGTCACTATGTTTGTGACAGCACCTCGTAAGCCCCAAAGGGCAGGTCCTAATAATTCACATTGCCCCAAGGAAGATGAAAGAGAGATTAATCTCACTCTAAGAGTTAAATTTCACTCCAGAAATCCACTTTCTGATAGAATCATAGAACAATCATAGAAAAATTCAGGTTGGAAAAGACCCTTGGGATCATTGAGTCCAACCATTGACCCTACACTACAAGTTCACCCCTAAACCATATCACCCAACACTACATCTAAGCGACACTTGAACACATCCAGGGATGGCAACTCAACCCCCTCCCTAGGCAGTCTGTTCCAGTGTCTGACCACTCTTTC